CCTATTAACATGTACATACCTGTCAACCCTGGCTATACTGAAAGAGGGTGATGACCTATTAACATGTATATACCTGCCAACCCTGGCTATACTGAAAGAGGGTGATGACCTATTAACATACTGAAAGATGGTGATGACCCTCTTTTGAAAATAAAAAAAAGGGTCATAGCTTGCGACGTCTTTTCGCAACAAATATAAGAAAAGTAGATATTAAATTAGAACTTTGATATTTTAATGATGTAAAAGGAACATTCTACATTAATTGAATTATTCTTCCAGCAGATCTAGCTGATCCTCATCCACAATACCAAATTTAAAGTTGAAAAATAAAAAGATTTGTCAACAACACAACTTATAAAATTAATTCATAATAATTAATATGATACTGTGTTTTCACAGGCATTTTTTTATGTCAATTAAAATGGTCCAGACAATAAGATGTCACATTCTTCCCATAAAATACCATTTTGTTTCTGTCAATAAAAATGGTCCTGACAATACCTAAGAAGTTGCACCCTACTCATATAAAATATCAGTTTTATATGAGTAGGGTTTGAATTCTTATTGTCAGGATCATTTTGATTGACAGAAACAAATCATCAAATGCCTGTGCGTGTTTTGAATGTCTAAGTAATGTCATTTTTAGCACCAGATCCAACTGAAATATGCGATTTATAAAGAGTGCAGAATCGAGCGTTTGGTCCATGACCGCCAGACTTTATCCGCTAAAACTATTTTTTCTATGACATTTGATGTACGCACAATTATCTTTTCTTTTAGCATTTCAAGATAATGACTTCTTCCTTCAAGAAGACATATGACGTTACCTTCAAAATACGATCTATTCTACGTAAATACAATTGTAAAAACAACTCAATTGTTTGTTATAACACCTCACTAATTACTTTATATAAATATTTGTAAAAACAGTTCTAGTACGTATATAAACAACTCACAACTTACCTGTTGGTGAGAAACGGAAACAGGAAAAAGATCGTCTTATGACAAAGGATGGAAAGGTAACTTCTACTATACAAAAAGATTTGGGGCAAAAAAGGGTGAAATTGACGAAATCCGAGTCAAAACCGTAACCCGGCGAGTGAAGTTATAAAAGCGTGTAAAGGGCTAAAATCTCAGATGTAACCGGACGAAATCTGGTCACTTGGCATATATGCATCTATGGTCATTTAATTCATTCACCCCTGAAGACACATTTGAGCTCTTCCAATTCAAATGTTGTAATAGTTTATTATGAAATTTCAGGGGTGAATGAGTTGAGACATGCTTGAGTACCGGGAGACAAAACCACCGACCTGTGGCCATTACCTGGCGACTTCCCACATAGTTCCTCAAACCTGTGTCCCAGTGGTGGAGGGCTTAAAATTAATAATAATAGTGATCGTGGATGGTCAGATGCCTTAACCATACAGCCCCCATGGCCCCTTGGTCCCTTTTTGGCCCCTTGGCAAATGAATCGAAAACTAAACATTGAAACAGTTTACGTCCCACTGACTCTATTATGACAGGACATGAATGGTTCAGACTCTCACCATATACATACAGGATCGTACATGAGTTTCCATTCCGTATTAGATTTATGAAATACGTCTAAGAATTTTTCAATTTAGGGAGCCTCTGTCTAGCTATAATAAAAAATTTGTGACGAATTTCATCAATTTCATATGGAATGGAAAAGGATGAAGCCCAGGAACTGACTCTGCCCCTGAAGTCTTATATTTGCATTATTACTTTATTCAGATATTTTGCGATGATATCTTAAATACCAAGGTGAACAATACAGGCCCTGCAGACTCTTGTTCAAAACAGAAGAGGGGAGAATATAATTACTTTACATCATTTACTCATTCAAATTCAATATTTTGAACCTACCATAAAACATGAAATATAATTTGCCATACTACACAATTTGTGTTAGTAAAATCTTGAGCTGAGATTGAAAAAAAATGCTTTGTATACTGATAAATACTTTATGCATCGTTGTTTTTTCGTCCTAAACTATGCTAGTTTATGACTTTGCAGTCAATGTAATTATCATATATATATGTGTTTTACATGTTGTGTATTTGTTGGTGTAGGGACAAAGACGTTCCGGGGCTTGACACAGTTATCCCCCTTGAGACTACCACTGCCTATGATATCAAAGATGTGATACTAGGGGTAAGATCCACTTATCTATTACAGCTAATTAAAAATGTCCTTCAACACTTAAATGTTTGTCTCAAAATGTTTTTATATTTATCTAGAAATTATGAGCTGTAAGTTTAAATTAAACCTGTGCCACTGTACTGCCATTTTCCCTATATACCTCTCCTTAACTTCCCTTTGGATATAACTGCAGCACAGTTGGGCGAGAGCACTTCCATTGACCAGCTAGCTGAATAAGGTATAGCAATAGTATAACAATTTGAAGTCCAAGATTGGAATACTGTATAGCCGAGCTGAATACTGTATAGCCAGCTGAATACTGTATAGCCGAGCTGAATACTGTATAGCCAGATACTGTATAGCCAGCTGAATACTGTATAGCCAGCTGAATACTGTATAGCCGAGCTGAATACTGTATAGCC